CTCTCTCTTGGCCGGATCTAAAGGCAGCCATGGCTGCCATCTTCTCTCTCTTCTTTTGAGCTTCTTCCCTTTAATGGAATACCTTAATGCCTTAGGGTTTATTCTTCCCCTCGGCGAGGTCTTCGATTTCAACCGATTGGAATCTCATTTTGGCCATTTCTTGAGTTCGGGTTTGAAGTCAAGTTGTGTTTTTGATGGGGCTTCCTTGAGATTCATGTTTGTGGTGTTGTCCCCGACAAAACCTAGGAGTTTCGTCAGATTCGGAGCCGATTTATTTTGGTGGGGATTTGACATTTCATCTCAAATGGAGGTAGGGAATGTTTTAGGCTTTTGTGTGTATTGTATTTAGCATGATTATACAACTTATATATGTGCCTTGTATCAAATCTAAAAAGTTAGAAAATTTTAATTCTTTATATAAGATTTAAAATTCATGATGATATATAACTTTGATTTGAATTGTGGTATGGTAGAAAATCTTGTTTTAACATGTTGATTAACATATATTAAATTTGGATTAATTAACTAAGAATTGCTCTTTTTAATTAATATTTATCTTTTGTGAAAGATTAAAGTTCATGGCCGTACCTTGCATGAAATTGAGTTGTATTATACTTCTAAATTAAGTTTTGGTATGTTTGTTAACATACTTTAATTTGAGAACATTTGGTTGAGTTTGAAAATTTAGAGACTTTAATTAAGAGAATTAATTAAAATCTAATTTTGTGGTTTCATGGGCCTAATTAAGCTTTTGTGGAAATATATGTAATGACCATGATATGTCTATTAGCATATATTAAATTGGGGCTAATTGGAAATGATTTGAAATCTAGAGAGTTTAATCATTTTGATGTAATTAGATTCTATCTTGTTTATCCATGGATTTAATCATATTTTAGAAGGTGCTTCTATTTTAAGATCATGGATTTAGACTTGTGAAGTATTCACTTGATTGTGTTATATGCATTGAAGGGCATTGTTGTTAAATTTATATTCATGAGAGTATGTTTCTATATGAATATATTGTTGGCTGGTGATTTCGTAGCATTATGGATATGAAATGCTTATTATGCACAATTGAGAGTTATATTGCTAACTTGTTACTATGTAGTGGTAATATGTATAAGTTATGAACTTATTTGGCTTATTTTGGAATCTTAGAACATTGTTGAGTTGAGATGGCTAGGGTTTGGCTCTAGTACGGGGACGTGAGTCCTTTAAGTCATTGAGATAGTGCGCACTTAGGGTGGTCTTCCCTACGGGTTAGTGCCCGGAATAACTATTGAGGTCTCGACAGAATTTCGAGCATGATGTCCAAGTCTTCCACTATTTGTTTTCGCATTCAATTCCAAGTTGACAATTATGTTTACCTTGTTGACTTGTGGTTTTGGCTATTGGCGATTTTGATTTTATTAAGTACATCCATACTAAATTGATATATTTAGTTGATTTCACACTTTTAGATTTCTAGTTGATAACCTAGAGAATCTATGTCTTGATGTGTGGTATTAGATATTCTAATTATGCTAAATTATTATATTTAGTTAATGTTGCATTTTAGACTTCAAGTTGATAACCTTGAGAATCTATATGTTATGGCTTTGTGTAAGCATGCTCCTATGTTGTTGCTTTGTGTAAGCATGCTCCTATGTTGTTGCTTTGTGTAAGCATGACCCTATGTTGCTAAAATTGCATGAATGAGGTGATTGATGCTAGAAATGATCTGAGGTAGCTAGGATGCTCCTTGAGTCTCACCTTTGACATAGACGTTAGGTGGAATGAACCACAATAATTAAATCATGCAAACTTGTAAAACGTAGGTTGATGCATGCTCATTTCCTACAAGTGGTTTTATGTTACTCACCCCTACGATACTGGGGCATATTTCAGGTACAAGAATTAAAGTTGAGACTTCCATTATGCTTAGATGACTTGTGGACTTGAAGGCTTCCATTTTTGTGAAGGTTGGCTCAGAATGCCAATTGTAGTCTTAATTGTTAAATGTGTATATTTGATTCGAAACTTGTAATGTGTGCCTAAGTACAATTTTGATTCTCATTTTATGTATATGACATGAGGCCAAGGGCCAAACTTCTTTTAGAATCACATTTATGTCATGGATGTTGATTTTTGCCTTTAATGAGATTATATGAAATTCATGAGTTTTAGTATGCTATTTTGTACCGGAGCGTGTATTGTGTATGAAATTCGTTATCTAGAATTCATTTAATATGTATGAGGTGTGGCCAAAGGCCAAACGGTATTTTGAAGTCATTTCATAATTTTGAATTCCAAGTTTTCATTCCAAATTATATTTTTGGCATTTTGGCCGTTGGGGGGGTCATATTTTGTATCGGCCATATTTTTGGGCCATGGACCATTGTAGCACATCTTACTAGGTAAATTACGTTTGCATGCATGGTCGTTTCCGGGCAAAGCTTCTTTTTTGGTGAGATGAGCCTCCCACGGACTCATTTTACACTTTTGTTGCATATTCTGACCTAAGGGTATTTTGTGAATTTTCTTTAGGAAATAAATTCCGTTCTTTACATGGTTGAATAAAAACATTATTTTAGGGGGGGTTTCCTTTTTGTGTTTTTCCAGAAAATGTCGTCTTGGCATCGAAAATCGATCCCAAAGTTCAGCATTCTGTTTTTTAATTTAGCAGCTTTTTGGACCCTCTGGACCAGTTTTCTTGGGAGGGCATTTTGGGCATTTCACACTGCGTATTTTTCGATTTTTCTTCAAAGTCATGTAGAAAACTCAATTTTGAGGGAGGTTTCTTCTTCGTGTTTTTCCAGAAAATGTCATCTAGGGCCTCAAAATCCCATTTTTTTCTGAAAAAACCCTTGCTGCCAGGATTTCTTACTACCCATTCTGCCCCCTTCATATCTAAATGGTTAGATGGGGTTCGTAACCGGTTACATGTGCATGGGCAGTGTTTTAGTCGAGTTTTTTGGTCTCCTAACCGGTTAGGAAGGCTTGGTAACCGGTTAGATGACCTAGGGTTTGCACTTTTTGACCGTTTTGCCCCTTCTTCTTCCGTTAGCCATATCTCCTTCATTCGGACTTCAAATCAAGTGATATTTGAGTCTAAGTTCATTGATTTTTCATTGTCTTTCCAATGGTGTGCTCGATGGCACACACTTTAAAGCTAGAAATGACATTTTTGCCCCTAGGTTCATTCTTATTTGTTTTTGAAACGTTACTTCCACATTTGATTCCTTTGGGTTCCGTGACCTCGTTGAGGGTCACATTGGCGTCTTAGAGTCATGTTGTATCTCTAGAGACCGTTATTTGTCTTTTGCTTCCGCATTTCGGATTTGTTATCGGGTCATCTTTCGGTTCATCACTGACGCACCGGGTTGAAAAACTTGGGCCGTCACAGTAATCTAGAGTTATGAATCTTAGAGAGGAAAACCACTTACAAGTTGCATCAAGTGATAAAGTTTGGGTGTCAGTATACAACACCAATGCCTTCTCATAAACAGGTTTAATTTTGCCAGAAGCTAGAAATATATGAGGGTCACTGCAACACTGAACCATAAAATGATGTTTCGTAATTACAAGTATACAAAAAGTGCAAGAATTTGTCTACTTTTTGAAAGCCTCTGAAGCTATAAAACAGCAAAGAGAATGGGAAAAATGCACCTCAACAACAATTTTAACACCAACGAATTCAATCTGTGGATGAGGATTTATGGCAAAATAATGTTTGAATTCGAGGGCAACCACATTATGCAAGAAATAATAAAAAAGACGGTAAAAAAATTTCACCAAATAGGATTTAGTTTTCAAAACAAGAATTACAAAACTTGATTAATTGATTGCTTAAAAAAAATTAAAACAAAACCCATACATACAAGTTAGCAGTTGCAGAGAGAGGGCTTGAGAGTTAAGAGACTACTCAATTTCCCAAAATTGAAAAATTGCCCAAAAGAGAGATTACTCAATTTCCCAAAATTGAAAAATTGCCGTGTATATAAAATTGCATCTATAATTAAAACAATGCGTATATGGTCTTTCTGGGGATTCCAATTCTCCAATCGAACTTCATTATTTTTAGGAGTTTTTCAAAAATAAAAATTAAATATGCGACGAAAATATAACCTAAATCAAACTTAAATCGATCACAGACAACTTGAAAACCAACATAAATATGAGACAGACCCAATCTCCAACAGGCCAAGACAAGAGGTCCAACAGGCCAAGACAAGAGACATTTGGAAGCAACTTGATTCATTCATAAACAAATAAATAAGCATGATTTTGAAGAAAAATGAACCAAATCGAACCTCAGAAAACTTGCATTTGTGGTCATTTTTCAGAAGAAAAAAAAAAATAGGGTTTCAAATCAATGAACTTAAATGTTTAGGAAATAAAAAGGCAAAATTTGCTCAAACCTGCCTTGATTTTCGACGAAGACAACAAAATGGTAAAGATCGGTGGTCAGATTGAGCGAAAACACCACTGAAAGCAAGGATCGGTCATCGTTTTTAGCCAAACAAGCGCATAGTGTAGAGTCGCCACAAAATCGCCACAATCGCTTATATGACGACCCATTTTCGAGCCACAATCATTTCAGATTCTCCGATTCCTGCCTTGTTCTTCGACCAAGACAACAAAAGAGCAAAGATCGGTGGTCGGTTTGGTGGATTTCAGCCAAACAAGCACACACAGCACAGTTGCCCCAAAATCACCTCCGCTTGAGCTCTCTAGAAACCCTAGAAAATGACTGAAATGTTTTAAGTTTGGTTTATATACGTGTTGCAAGTCTGGTTTAAGTGGTGTTTTTACTTCTTCCGCTACAGTGATTATTTGGGCCAACAGTACCCAAAACACGGTAACACAGTACCCAAAACACGGTAATATTTGGCCCAAAAATTGAATATGTTTTGACACTATTGGCAACAAAGTAGACCGAACCAAACTTGTTTTGGGCTAAAAAATTACTACGCCTGCAACAAAAACACATTAAGCAAAACAAATACCGGCCCAAAGTCCATGCTGTATGAACTGGCGATATCAAATCCAAAAAGCCCCCATTTAACTCTACAGTGGGTGTCGACTAGTCGGCGAATCTAGAGAAGGGTCTCTCGTCTCTGCCCTTTGCCAAAGTTTTGTTCTTTCGGAAATTCATACTCCCAAGTGAGCTCTGTACCAAAGTTGTTGAGAGGTCGGAGAATTACTGTGGTCGCCCAACCCAACCCAGAAAATGGATCAGAGCCAGAGGGCTTCGAGGACTTACCAGTTCCACCCTGCCAGACCCGCCATTATCGACCTCTTCAACCTCTACTTAGGAGTGAGTAATAATAATTCTCTATTCCATCTTTTTTATTTTATCTATTTCAAAACCAAAACTTTGTTTCTTTCTCATTTTATTTCCATTTTTTCTTCAATTTTGCAGAGAAGTGCCCGCCAAAAGCCAGAAGACTCAATCCGAGAACCACCGTAAGTTTATTTATTGTTTTTGAAGTTTTAGTTTTGCTTTTGAACTTCTAAGATCATGATGGGTTTGTTCTTCAGTTATTTTTTAGGGTTTATGTTTTTGGGTGCAAGTTGTATGTCGTGATGATGATTTAATTATTTACTCTAATTTAATTTGAGATAGATTACATAGGGGTGTTTATATTCGAGTTTGATTTTTATGGTTGCTATCTAATTGTCAGCAAATTGTTAGTCAGGTACAAGTATTGGTTTTAATTTTATATTATATATATTTATATATATATACTGTAGTAAAAAAGACAAGTGCAATGAACATTATTAAAAGCTACATAAAGTTATCAGAACTTAAGAGTAAACCAACAATGTATTGGAAAGTTATAGTAAATTGATAATCATCTAAATTGGGAAAGAAACATAATAACAATATATATATTCAATATAAATGTAATAACTATGATAATTATGATAATATTTTGTATTTACAAACACAATTATTGAAAAATATACAATATCAATTTGAAATCGTAGGACCTTGAAAATCTAGAAGAACAAAAATGATTTGGATTGGTAGCATAGGTTTTGCTTGCACTTAGGAATTATACGGAATATTCAGAAAGAGAAAGTGGAATAAAAAGAAGCACAGTTTGAGAAATCTTAATAATCACACCTTTAGAATAAAGCTTTAAAACTGCAGTGTAAAAATACGTGTCACATTTCTCTCTCTCTCTCTCTCTCTCTATTTATATATATATATATATAAGTACATATCCTTACATGTGTGTTGGGTAGATATGCATATATATTAAATCAATTAGTTTGCATATTCTGAAGTCAGATATGAGAGAATTTCTAAACTAATTCGATGTATTATATATAGAGTTTCTGATTTGAAAGCTCTTTGCTTACAAGTACAGTTTTGTCCCAAAAATAGAATTAAAAAAAGAAGAAGAGAGAGTTAGTGTTTACCAGTAGAGTTTGTCAAAAGTAAAAAGAATAATTTGTGTTTAAGATGGTCTCTGGCTCTTGTATACCTTTTTGATAAAATAGTATAATATTAGATAAAAATTAGAAGCGTGAATTACTTTGACCACCCCTGAGGTTTGCCTTTATTACTCATGGTTCAAACATTTTGAAGTATAACCGACACCCCTGTCAGAGTTAACATTTGTTAGATTTGTTAACAGTAGGGGTGAGTTTTCCATTATAACCCCACATGTGAAGTACGCGTCATGCTAACGCAAGATACCCAAAGTGCGAAAGACGATTTTGCTTTACGATTATATGGATAGTATATCTCACCAAATCTTCCTGAGAAAGCAAGATGATTTATATGAATATGATTAGATAACGGGCCAAACTCCAACTCGGAGGGGGAGGGGGGGGGGGGGGGATTTGCCCAAAGCTGCTTCTATTATGCCATCTCCTTGTTGTCCCCGACCTTGGACTAATGTATGTGTGTATATATAGATATACACATACTGCATATTTTATATACATATTAGCTCTCGTTCTTACTATCTTTTCTGCAATTTTCAGTGTTTCTCAATATCCCACTCCAAACCCTAAACGCCCTTATGTATGGGCTACAAGAGAGTAGTAAACAGGGTCCATGACCCGCAAAAAAAAAAAAAAAAGAAAAAAGGGTCAATCAATGGGTCATCGGGTTGTGACCCAAAACCAAATTCGGGCCACAACATCACAAATCTCCACCATGGCTCGAATTATACCAAGCTCCACAATCTCAAGCTACTTCTTTCGCCTCCTTCACATTTCCCAAAGGGCCTTGACAACTATAAACACCAATCAAGTCCAGACAGTGTCTGAACTTAATAGTAGAAACGACCTTAGTCATCATATCCGCCGGATTTTCTATTGTCCCATTCTTCCTCAGTACAATAGCACCTCGTGCAATCTGAAGTGCAACCTGACATTAATTTACTTGGTCTTCTCATGGAACATCCAATTTTTAATCGCACTCTAGCTTTTGCAGAACACAATCAAATCATCCTGCTGCAAGCCCAAATCACCAACCAAACCTTTCAACCAGATAGCTTCACTATGGGCCTCAGTAGTAGACAATTGACTACAAAGTCTGAAGTGAGCTACCGATGGAGTACTCACAGGTTTGGTGCTTGCTCACTAAAGCCTTCCAGCACCTTCTCAATGTATTTCCTCCGTGACAAATACAATCTGCCTACTAGTCTATCCTTGTGAATTTCCATTCCAAAAATTCTCTTTGCAGCACCAAGATCCTTTATCTCAAATGCACTACTAAGCTAAGCCTTCAACATGTTAATTTCCGACATGTTTCTGCAAGCTATCAACATGGCATCACCATTCAGCAACAAGTATAAATATGAACCATCAAAGAGCAACATGTGATGCACACAATTGTCAAACTCACCTTATAATAGCCACTCCTAACCATAAAAGTGTCAAATCGCTTGTACCACTGCCTATGAGATTCAGTAGTTGAATTGCCCGACCGACGCCCCTCTTGCCCGACTACCTTAGCCCATACAAGGATTTCTTTAGTAGGCAAACATGATCTTCCTTTCCCAGAATCTCAAACCCCTCAGGTTGACGCATATAAATCTGCTCTTCCAACTCACCATGCAAGAAAGCAGTCTTCATATCAAGTTGCTTAAGCTCCAAGTCATATAGAACAACCATAGCAAGTAACACCCTGATTGTGCTATGTTTTACCATAGGAGAAAAAACTTCATAGATTTCCACCCCTTCCCTCTGTGCATAGCCCTTCGCTACCAAGCGTGCCTTGATCCTCGCATCTTCCACTCTTGGAGTTCCTTCCTAATTCTTGAAGACCCATTTACAGCTCACAATCTTCTGACCCTTAGGCTTCTCAACTAGCTCCCTAGTCTAGTTCTTATGAAGAGACTCAATCTCCTCCTCACTCATGGCAACAGACCATTGTACTGACTCTCCACCTGTGATGGCCTAATGATAACTACCGGGTACTTGCTCATTAATATCCTCTGCCACACTAAGTGCATAAGCAACCGAATCAACATGAGAAAACCCATACTGAGGTGGCCTAGTCTCCGTCCTTGGTCTGTCTCTTCCTAGTTTAATTAGGTTTCTTTTTTAAAGTTGTATTTTATATTGGTAATTTCTTGTTTGACAAGTCTTGAGCTCTAAGGAATTGTAAACCTTGGCCAACAAGGAATCGTGTTTGTACCTTTATAAATAGATACCTTTGGGTTGAGACTTATGAGATTAAGAGAGATGTAGTCTCATAAGGGAGTTGACGGGTAGAGGTAATTTATGGATTGGTAGAGTAGGAAAAACACCGGTGACATTGGTAGCGAGGACATAGGTTCGTGAAGTGGTTCATGGTGAAAAGGCATGTAAACAATGTTGGTACTCTAGTGTGTATACGGAATCATAGTGGAATCTCTTCTCATCCGTGGATGTAGACTTGTTTTGGTCAAACTAAGTTATATTTTGTATTTTTGTGTGATTTTTTTGTTGGCTTTCATTGGATCTTTGTATTGTGCGTTTTCGCTGTCCGAACAAATTGTTATCAGAGTTAAAGGTGAAGGAGATCCAGAAAACACAGGGAGTCTCAACACGTGTTGCAACAGGTTTCGCCGTTTCGGTTGTAGGCAGGGGCGAAGCCAGTGAATGCCCAAGGGGGCATGTGCCCCCATTGCCCTGGCCTGCCCACTATAATAGGTCCCTAATTGGCTTGCCCACTATAATAGGTCCCCCATTGCCCTGCCTTGATTTTCTCTCTCTTTTTCAGATTCCTGTTTCTGTGGCTGAGAGAATTGAGAGATTGCACTGTAATTTTCTGTGTTGGGGGGGGGGGGGGGGGGAGTGTGTAAGCCGATTCAGAGGGGAGTTTTAGGGATTAGGAGGTTGGTGCCTTTCAATAAGGCTTTCCTTGGGAAATGGTTGTGGAGGTTTGGGTGGAGAGGCATTGGCTTTGGAGGAGGGTTGTCACAAACAGGTTTGGGGAAAGCAGTGGAGGGTGGAGCTCTCTTGAGGTGCATTGTCCTAGGGGGGTGGGCGTTTGGAGATTTATTTGGAAGGGGTGGGATGATTTCTTCAAACATGTTCGTTTTTGGATCAAGGATGGTAGGAGGATCAGATTTTGGGAGGATCCTTGGTGTGGGGAGCTTCCGCTTGCTCTTGCTTTCCCACGGTTCTTCAGGATTGCTTCGGATAGGCAGGCCATGGTGGTTAACTGTTATAATCTTGATAACGGGAGACTATTTTGGGATGTTCATTTTAAGAGGCCCTTTTAGGACTGGGAGATTGAGGATGTCATTCATTTTTTGGAGTTGTTGTATCGTTAGGTGATTATGGCTGGGGATTCTGATAGTTGGTTTTGGGATTCAAACTCTTAGGGTCGTTTTGAGGTTCGTTCCTTCTTCAGTTGTCTTACGGAAGAGTCTGGAGGCCACTTCCCTTGGAAGTCTGTTTGGCGTTCCAAGGCTCCCCTCAAGGTGGCCTTCTTTGCTTGGACCTCTGTCTTGGGTAGGATTTTAACCCAGGATAATTTGAGGAGGAGGAATCAGGTGGTGGTTAATTGTTGTTACTTGTGCTTGCGTGATGAGGAGATAGTGGATCACCTTCTTTTACATTGCAGCATGGCCAAGAACTGTTGGGTTTTGATGCTTGGTTTGTTTGGGATTCCTTGGGTTATGCCTAGATTCTCTAGAGGGATGATTGAGGCTTGGAGAGGTGTTTTAGTGGGGGCTCTTTTTCAGGATGCTTGGAGGGCTACGCCTCTTTGTATTTGGTGGTGTATTTGGCTAGAGAGAAATCAAAGATATTTCGATGGAAAGGAGAAGCCTATTTCTATGTTTAAGTTATCTATTATTTTCACTTTTTTTGTTGGGTTACAGGGAGATATTATAGATCTATAGAGGAGATTGTGGTTTTTTTAGCCTCTTTGAAGGCTTGAGGCGTTTTTTTAGCCTTGTATGTTTCTTTGGGATTCGCTCCCCTTTTGAGCGCTTTTTATAAATTTTTACTATTTAAAAAAAAAAAAAAAAAAAAAAAAGATTTAATGGAGAAATCAGTGGAGGGACATCTTTTAGTAATTGATGTTGTTTCCTATTATTGAAGATTTAGTGTTATAGAGGAATCAGTGGAGAAAAATCCTTCTTGTTTCCTATTTTCTATCTCTTTCCATTCTCATAATTTTTTCTCCTATATAAAAGAGCCTCCACCATTGTATTGTGCATGAATTAAGAGAGAATGTAATGAAAGAGATGTAACCCTCTAGGCTCTTTGTGTCGTGGATGTAAGCCCTAGTGGTTGAACCACATTATATTTTGTGTTCTTTATGTTTTAATTTCTCTCTTCAACTTTTATTTTTCTTTCAACATGGTATCAGGGCATAATTTATCTTCCTAGGTTCGGACCCCTATTTTGGGGTATTCCCTTAGCATTTGAAATGTTGCTAAGGGTTTCTCGGTGCTATTTGTGACTTGTTTGGGCTGTCGGTTTGTTCGGCAGTAATGTTCTTCGCCTTTGCCGTGTTTTCGGCAGTTTTTATGGACTTGTTTGGGCTGTCAGTGTGTTCGGTGGCATTGTCTTCGTCTTTGCCGTGTCTTCAGCAGTTTTTATCGGCTTGTTTGGGTTGCCGATGTGTTTGGTAGCATTGTCCTCGCCTTGCCGTGTCTCCGGCAGTTTTTTGTTGGCTTGTTTGGGCTGCCGGTGTGTTCAGTAACATTGTTCTTCGTCTTCTCTCTTCATCATTCACACTTGTTGCTAGTTGTTATCTCAATGGCAAGTTGGGCATTCATGCTCTAACTTGAGGGGGGGTATTGAAGATTTAATGAAGAAATCAGTGGAGGAAAATCTTTCAGTAATTGATGTTGTTTCCTATTATTGAAGATTTGGTGTTATAGATCAGTAATTGATGTTGTTTCCTATTATTGAAGATTTGGTGTTATTGAGGAATCAATGGAGAAAAATCCTCCTTGTTTCCTATATTCTATCTCTTTCTTTTTTCATAATTTCTTTTCCTGGAGCTTCCACCATTGTATTGTGTATGAATTGAAAAAGTATTATAATAAAGTGATGTAGCCCTTTGAGCTCCTTGTGTCGTGGATATAGGCCCTAGTGGCTGAACCACGTAATATCTGTGTGTTCTACTCGTTTGATTTATCTCTTCGCTTCCGTTTTATGCTCATTTTTCTCCTCTTTTACTCTTTAAATTCCTTTTATTTCTTAAAAAAAAGAGAGTTAATTTTCCCATCTCAACTACGCTCTAATTCTTTTCCTTTCAAAGTTTTTGTCATTTTTCTTTCCTTTTTAATCTTCTTCTTTGTTTTTTCCATCTACTTCTTATAATAATAATTTCCTTCTTCATTATTTACCCTCCCAACCCAACTTATCAAAAAAAAAAAAAAAACCCAGCGAGTTGAAGTCCTGGCTCTGCCCCTGGTTGCAGGTGGAGTCAATTGACTTGGTTGGTCATGATGGTCAAAAAATTGTGATGGGTTACATGGCATGAAACTCGAGTAGTCAAGGTGGAGCGTTGGAAGTTTGACTGATCTTGGAGCGTGCAAGGTGGACAATTGAAGTTTTGTAGGAGGATTGTCAAGGCTGAAGCTGTAATGAATTGTCATGATTTGCTGGATGGAATTTGAGCCAAGGTGAAGATTGTTAGAAATTTTGTTTCAAATTCCTAGTCTAATTAGATTTCTATTTTAGAGTTGTATTTTATTAGATAATTTCTTGTTATACAAGTTTTGGGTTTCAAGAAATTGTAATCCTTGTCCAACAAAGAATTGTGTTTATAACTCTATAAATAAATACTTAGGTTTTGGGTTGAGATTATGAAATTGAGAGAGATGTAGTCTCATAAGGGAGTTGATGGGTAGAGGTAGTTTATGGGTTGGTACAATAGGAAAAACACTGGTAGCGAGGAGATGGGCTCGTGAAACTTTAGGGATATTCCGTATCAGTTGCCCCCTGTTCCTGAGCTTGCCTGTCAAACTTAAGGAATGCTAAGTAGCCTTCGCTCTCCTTTTCCTGACTGAAAGCTGTTTTGAAGATCATGTTCTGGTGCCCCGACCAGCGTGCTCTATTTAGGCAATGCCCATGATTTGACATTTGTTTTCCAAGGATGTCCAACAGAAACCCTTACTTTTATCGTCGGATTGTGCTACTTTTAATATGGACGAAGCATACTTGAACGTCATTGTCTCGCCCCTTTAGTTAGGGGAGTAGTTTGACCCCTCGTCCATTTAACAAGGGAAGGAGGTGAAGTTGACCCCTCATCCCTTTAATGAGGGAAGGAGGCATAGGTGGCCTCTCGTCCCTTTAATGAGGGAAGGACAATTACGAGCTTCACTCAGCCCACCCCTTTAAGAAGGGGGGCCTTTAAATACGGAGTGTGATGATTTTGATCTCCTTTAATAAGGGACAATTACGAGCTTCACTTCAATCGTGAATCAAAAGAAGCAAAAGAGTCCATCCACAGGATGAAAGACTGACCTCAGTGCCAAGAACACAAGAAAAGGGGGTGGGTGAAAGGACATCTGATATAACAATAGACTAATAAAGGTGACTCCCTTCTTGAAGGAATATATCGGGTAGGGTAGCCGTGGAGTACCTTCCTTCAATATGAACTAGTAACTTGAGCAATACCTATTCTCTTTGCTCTTGTGAAACTACAATTATGACTTCACTCAGCATAGACCCTTTTAATACGGAGCACGTCAATTTTGATCCCTTTTAGTACGGGGAACGGCAATTACGAGCTTCACTCAGCCTAGGTCCTTTTAGTATGGGGTAGGTTGATTTCGATCCCTTTTAGTAAGGGGAACGTGTCCGCCCCTTTAGTAAAGGGGTTGTACCAAGATACGTAGTAGACCGCCAGCATTTATATCACTTTTTGATGAGAGTCAAGTGCATTTTTGTGCATGGTAGGCCAATAATATCCTGACCGAATACGTGTCCCTCGTATTACCTCCACGAATACCTTCGTGTATCTTCTCAAAATATAGTCAGCCTTCCATCACCTAAATAGGATAAAGAGAAAGCCTTTTTATTTATTTATTATTATTATTGTTTTTATAGACTACTCCCTTGATGTGAATATACTTGGATGCTTGGATTTTCACCTTCCGAACGCCTATCCGGTCTAATGGAAGCTTTCCATTCTTAATGCATACTTGACGGTCTTGGGGGTTGGCTCTCTTTTTTGGTGTTTCTAGAACTATTGGCCTCGAGGCCTTGGGTATTCTGAGTTTGAGACCCTTGTGCTTGATGTGGACAAGACCTGGCTTGGGGCCCAGTGGACGAGTGCTTCGTACCCGAGCCGAGTGCTTTGTGTCCGGCGGACGAGTGCTTTTTGCCCTACCGGTGGACCAGTGCTTGATGCCGGACCGGCAGATGAGTGCTTGATGCCCGGCGGCAATGGGGGGGCCTATTGTTCCGACGCTGCCACACCTTACAATCATCTGGGATGGTGAGCTGTATTTTGGACAATTCCCCTTTTTAGAAACTCGCATTGACTGGCTGCCCCCGACATTCATATCCGATCATATTCGAACCATGATTTCTTTAAGGAAACTAGTATATGTTCCAGTAGACAGCGTCAACTGTTGATGCAAAATTCTGCACGGTCCGAAGTCGGGGCCTTTCCCGCAAGAAAAGAGAAATTACGACCGGTGTGGTGCCGGCTGGGGGCAATTTGACGATCAAGTTATTTCTTGAGCCATTATAAGTCAAAGAAAGACTTTGTATTTAATTTTTGGCGTACCTTTTTCAGTTGACCGATTACTCATTTTACAGAAGCATTAATGGTGGTAGTGTTTTGTCATGAAACCAATTCATTTTCCTTGCCCATAACGAATTGAAAGAGTCATCGGAGAGGGTGGTAGTAGTTATCTTTATCTCCTTGAGTTTATCCATACCCTTCGGTTTCTGTGTGGGTTGGACTTCCTAAACGGTCGAATTCTGTATCACGTGCTTCATTTTGTTTTAATTTACTTTTTGGTTAAATGGTTGTTCTGATTAGCATGATGGATTGATTGGTATTTGATAAATTTGAAATTGTCAGTTAGTCAGTTAAGATTCAAAAACTAGTTAAAACTACCAGGAAGACATATTCACTACCCATCTAGGTCTAGATCACGGACCTTGTGCCAACTCCCTATCAGGGCCTAGGGTTTTGGTCCTCACTCCATCAACCTTATTTATTAATAATGATGTGTGTGTGTGTATATATATTCTTGATGATAGTGGAAGAATCTTCTCTTCCAACAACGCAGACCATGTAACAGGTGTAAACAATTTATTGATTTTTTAATTTTTTTTAGTAAAAATATCCAATAAAGCTAACTTATCAAAAAAAAAAAAAAAAAAAAAAAAAAAAAAAAAAAAAAAAATCCAATAAAGCTGCTAAAATGGTGGCAAGCCATGTTCATGCATTGTGCAGTACAAGATTGTAGAAGTACCCATAAAAAACAAAATAGTCAGAATTATATGCAGATTCGTAAAAAACTTTGCAGAGGGTATACCGTCCTCACCCAACAAAACAAACAACTGAAGTGCTGCTCTTCAGTATATAAGTATCTGTCTGCTTTGTTTATGTGTGTTCAGTAATGATAAATTGATGTTCAGGAACAAAACACAGAAGCGTGTAACTGCTCTTAACAGAGAGCTTCCTCCACGGAATGAACAGTTCCTTTTAGACTTCGAGCAGCTTCAGAGCCAGTTTGCTGTAAGTTCCGAATTTGAATTATTAGCATTGCACGATTGGTTCCCCTGATTTTGTTTTTTCTTCTGTTATACTAATTTAATCCACCGATATGGTTCAGGACCAGGAGCAATTGCGTGCTGTAACAGAATCTGTTCTTATATCTATGGTTATTCAGTGTAGTTGTCATGCACCCCGGGCAGAATTTCTTCTCTTTGCTTTACGTAGTTTGTGCAGTATAGGTTACATTCAATGGGATACTTTTCTGCCGTCCCTCCTTTCTTCAGTGCCCTCTGCAGAGATGTCAGTTGGTCAGGGAAATCAATTATTGGCTGCTGTCTCTTCTGCAACTTTATCACAGTCTGGGCTGTTGCCATCTTCAAGCACAATTCCTAATTCCTCTAATTTTCAATCTTCAAATCCTGCATCTCCTTTGCCTTCAGTTCATGGTATTGGATCCCCTACTCAATCAGCAACTGAACCATCATCTTGTGCAACTTTGTCAGCAGTAAAATCATCTGACATCAACTCTGTTGGACAGCAATCTACAGCAAGGATCAATTCATCAATAAGAGAGAATGCTATAAGCAGTCTCCGTCACCTGTGTTGCAAGATCATTTTAACTGGTCTAGAATCCAATTTAAAGCCGGTGACTCATGCCAACATTTTTTACCATATGCTAAATTGGCTGGTTAATTGGGACCAAAGACAACAGGGGATTGATGAATTTGATGGTGCAAAATCTTGGAAACAAGGCAAGGCTCTAACTGAATGGCTGCACAGCTGTTTAGATGTGATTTGGCTGTTGGTTGAGGATGATAGGTGCCGTGTGCCCTTTTATGAACTCTTACGCAGTAGCTTGCAGTTCATAGAAAACATACCAGATGATGAAGCATTGTTCACACTCATTTTGGAGATCCATAGGAGGCGAGATATGATGGCTACGCATATGCAAATGTTAGATCAACACCTTCACTGCCCTACATTTGGAACCCATCGGCTTTTGTCTCAGGCCACTGCTAATATATCAGGTGAAGCTGTGACAAGCATGCGTTATTCACCAATTACATACCCAAGTGTACTTGGAGAACCATTGCATGGAGAGGTGATAACATATTCTACTAAACTATGATGAAAGTTTGATTTTGTTGTACTTTTCCTTTCTTTGTTGATAATAGGAAACTAGAAACTAAAGAGCATTACTAAGAACCCAGATAGGAAACTGGAAACTAAAGAACATTACTAAGAACCCAAAGGGATCAGGAAAATGAAGAAGAGTGAGGAATCTTTTTAAAGAATACTAAACAAGTGAAGAAAATGAAGAACTAAAATGGAAACAAAAACCCCAAATCTCATGAAACCCCTAATCCTCGGGGAGTTGAAAATGGCCTCTGTAAAACTCCATAATGGAAGCTCGATCAGCTGCTAGAGAATTTTTCCTCCTTTTGCTGATTGTGGAATCCACTTGATCTTGGCCGTCAGGGACGCATCAATAGAAGATTTTATGCATTAAGTTTGCATAATGCCAGCACTGAAATTAATAGGAGCCTAACTAACTTGCCACAAAATTTCTGACATCCTTAATAAATAATAGCTGCATTGCTTATAAAGTGCTTCCTGATGGCCTTGCCAAAAGAGCTAGAACCTCCCTCAGTAGTACATTCCACTCCCAATGGTTTGGAGAGAATGTTCGAGTAATTAGTCAAACCTTTTAGAACAAGTTTTTCTTATTGTTGGAAGTCCATGCAATAGGGTAATTTTGCTTTAAGGCTTCACATCTTTTCTATCCTCTTCTGACATGTTTGCATTTCTGGACAAATGAAACTTGACGCCAAATTTATATATTGACTGAATACTAAATCATCTAAATGAGGTTAACTCAATTTTTTTAGAATTATTAGCTTACCTCGTTTGCTTTTATGAGGAAGCGCTATTTGTAAGTATAATAGAAAAAATGTTATTCTTGATGGGTGGGGGAATACTGAAGAATTCTGTTTTATTTTGTTATGTTTTTTCACCCATAGGTTTATAAAACCGAACTTACATGCTTAGCTTATGGAAAACCATATTGAGCTTCTAGGGTTAATAAAACCTCTATCCATTTATCTTTTGTTTGTATTGGCAGAGAAATTAATTTGCTTAACCTTTCTTTTTTTTTTTTTTTTTTTTTGTTTTGTTTTCGTTTTGAGTTAGAGCTGCTGCAACAAAAGATTTATGCAGTTGGATGTCACAAGAATATATTAAGCCTATTATAGTAGTTGTGCAATTTGTATAATGCATCCAACAAAAGTTGGTTTAAACAGTTAATCTTATTGGTATAGGATCTTGCCGCTTCTATTCAAAGGGGAAGTCTGGACTGGGAAAGAGCTTTGCGTTGTATAAAGCATGCTCTTCGTAACACTCCATCACCTGATTGGTGGAAGCGTGTGCTTCTTGTGGCTCCTTGTTACAGGGACAGGATTAATGCTCAAGGACCTACTCCTGGTGCTGTATTTACTTCGGAAATGATTTGTGAGGCAACCATAAATAGAATTGTTGAACTATTGAAGTTGACAAACTCAGGCAATCCTCTCATACTTAATTTTTTTTTTTTGTTTCACTTTTGATTTAAAATATAGTCAAGAATCAGTATAAATACTATGACTTTTTGATGATATTTTACCGATTGCGTTACACTGCTGCTATTATATAGTAAATGGAATCATGTGATGTTTATACTTCTTTTTCCCTATTGCTTCAAAAGTACCAGTGTCTTGTTGATAATAATGGTTATATGGAGATCAAAAGTGTGCTGCGTTAGGCTACTGGAACTAGTTCAAGTTAAATCAAGGTAGTTACATTTGACCAGCCTTTGTTAGCTGAAGTGGCTTCAATTTCTGCTACGAGTTTTCATCATCATCATCGTCCATCCTTGCCTTAATCCCATATGAATGGGGTAGGCCACATGAATTCTCTTTTTCCATTCTTTTCTATTATAAGCATCTCTCCTCTAATATTTAACTTTTTAAAATCATTTCTAATGATTTCATTGAAATTAATTTTAGGCGCCGTCTCTGCATCCTACCCTCTATGCAAATTAACCTTCTCTTCTCACCAGCGCATCTATAGGTCTTCTATGTATATGTCCATACCACCTAAGTCAACCCTCTATAATCTTATCACTTATAGGTGCCACGGCCAAATTTCTCCATCACATTTTGGTTGGTTACCCTATCCTTTCTAGTCACTCCTATAATCCATTTGAACATCCTCATTTCCGCCTAACACTTTGCGGCATATAAAATAGTTGTCTAATAACTACTTATCAAAAAAAAAAAAAAAAAAAAAATAGTTGTCTAATAACTGTTCTATAAAATTTTCCTTTTAGTTATATGGTATACGTTTATCACTCAAAACACCACTCGCTTGCCTCCATTTTATCCAACCTGCTCCAATTCTACTAATTATATAACCATCTATCTCCCCCATGTTTTGTATCAATGACCCTAAATACTGAAATTGTTCACTTTGGATAATCTTCTGATTTTAAAGTGCAACCATTACATCATTAATATCCGTCTCCTTACTAAATTTGCATTCCTTATATACAGTTCTAGTCCTACTAACCCTTAATTCTTTTGATTTTTACGTGTTTCTTCCCCTTTCCAATTTAATTGCTAAGTTTTCTTTAGAAGTGTCCAATAGTACTATGTCATCAGTGAACGATATGCACCAAGGGATGTTTTCTTGTAACTCTTTTGTAATCTCATCTAGGAATAATGTGAATAAATATGGATTAAGTGCAGACACTTGGTGCAACCCCACCTTTATAGGAAGATCTCTAGTCTCACCGCATGTAACGCGAACTTTGTCTTGGGTATTTAGATACATATCCTGAATAATCTTTATAATATGTAGATGTATTTGTATTCTTTGTAATACCCACCAAATTATTTATCTGGGCAACCTATCCTAAGCATTTTCTAGGTCTATATAAAGACTATATGTAGATCGTATTACTTTGTCCTACATTCTAAGACCGGTAGATCCTTTTACTTACTCCTACATTCTAAGACTCGTTGTCTAAGCCAGTAAATAGCTTCCATTGTGGATTCCTTGGCATAAATCCAAATTGATTATTGAACATGTCGAAATATTTTATTATTTTTATTTTTATTAGTTGTTTTTAGCCTTTTATTAGGTGTTTTTATGTAAGATCCCTATAATCATGGGATCACGTAGATAAGATCCCTGTAATTATGGGATCTTGTAGATAAGATCCCCATAATCATGGGATCATGTAGATTTTGGCATTTTTTCTATCTTTCTTTGATTTGGTTTCCTTTCTTTGTACCCTATTCTTGTATATAAATATAGATATTGGCTTTCGGTTTGAGTAAGCCAAAACCCAAAACTTCTTCTTTTTGGTATCAGAGCTAAACAAAAACCTTCTTCTCCCCATCTTCCTCCCCAACGCCGCCACCTTCTCTCTCCCTCTCCATTTTCCCTCACCTCCGGCGCACCTCCATCTCCTCCCAGCCCTTGCGCGGAACCCCTCGGGTTACCCTCTGTTTTTGACTCCTTTTTTAGGAGAATTCCCTTAGGTTTTTTTTATGATCTAAGGGTACTTCTGGGTTTTATTTTTTTTATTTTTTTATTTTTTGTTTTGTGGGCTGCCAGTGTTTGTTCGGCAGCATATTTGGAGGAAAGCGCTGATTTTCAGGCCTTGTTTTTCTCTTCCTCCCTCTTCGAGTTGTGGACCGGCCTTAATTTGGTACTATGAGTGATTCTAGTAGCCAAAATGACACTTTATCTTCGAGCCCACTGCCACAGTAGCCGATACTATTGGTGGGTATACTACTCCCCATATTGTTGTCCCTCCTGCTTCAACTCCTATCAGACCATCTTTTCAAGACTTCAAACAGTTATAGTCCCAGATTGGTCAGCTTCAGCAGTTTGGAGCCTTATCTACCAGGGCCGACTCTTCTACTCCCACAACTACTATAGCTACAGGTACTCCTTCTGCTTATTATGTTAAAGCAGGAAAACCTACTTGGGTTATGGATTCCGGAGCCAATGATCACATGAATGGTGAGTTGTCATTATTTTCTACTCCCGTTACCCCTATTAATCAGGTTGTTAGTCTAGCCGATGGGTCAACCACCATTATTCGTAACAAAGAAAAAGTTCATCTATCCCTGATATTATTTTGGCATCTGTTCTTTATGTTCCTAACTTTGCATTTAATCTTTTATCGGTTAGCAAACTTGCCAAATTACTAAACTGTGTAGTGATTTTCTTTCCTCATGACTGTGTTTTAAAGGATGTGTGTTTGAAGAGGATTTTTGGCAGGGGATATGAGCACGATGGCCTCTACTACTTTAGGGATCCTCCACCGACACCTCCTCCACTTGCTTCAAGCCTTCAAGCCTCTGTTCTTCCAGTTTCCAGGTCTTGTGATTTTTTTTTTCAGACTTTAAGTTTATGGCATGCTCGCCTTGGGCATCTAAACTTTAGGTATTTTTGTCTACTTTTCCCTTCATTAATAACGGCTTGTAACGATAATAAGTCTCAATGTGAGATTTGTGAGCTTTCTAAGCATACTAGAACCAGTTATATTTCTCCTATGCATCGTGCACCTAGTATGTTTGATCTCATACATTCTGATGTGTGGGGTCCTTCTCCAGTTATTGCTTTTTCGGGACATCGTTATTATGTCACATTCATTGATGATTATTCTCGTTGCATATGGGTATATTTACTTAAAAAGAAATCTGAAGTTTTTCCCTTGTTCACTCAATTCCTCTAAATGATCAAAACTCAATATAAAATTGTTGTTAGGATTATTAGGTCTGACAATGGTCGTGAATATGTTTCCAATGAGTTTCGGTCTCAACTTAACCAACGGTGTATTCTTCATCAACTTACTTGCCCATATACCACTTAACAAAATGGTGTTGCAGAGCGTAAAAACCGCTAACTAATGTCAGTTGTTCGATATCTTTTAAGTGGTATGAATGTGCCAAAGTCATTTTGGCACATGGCGGTTCTTACAGGTACTTTTTTCATTAATCGTACCCCTAGTAGAGTCTTAAATGGTAAGGCCCACTTAGCTTGATATTACTCTTTTTTCCATCATGCCTCGGGTGATTGGATGTACATGTTTTGTTTAGAATCGTAGCCCTTCTTGTATTAAACTTAATGACAAGGCCATTAAATGTATCTTTTTAGGATACTCTACCATGTCAAACGGTTACCGGTGTTATGTTCCAGTACACAAACATATGTATCACTCTCTTGATGTCACCTTTCATGAGCATACCTCTTTTTATGGTTCAAACACTATCTTGCAGGAAACTTATACTCTCGATCAAGAGGCTTCTCATCTTGCTCGTCCTCTTCCTATTTTCTAAGAAGAGCCTTCTCTTGTTGTTTCCTCACCCCTTTGCAGGTCTATTCATGTCGCCTTCGTGCTCCGCCTCCGCTGCCTTCATCCTCCTCAAACTCAGTTTCAGGTACATCTCTTTCTTCTTTACATTGCCCTAACCCTGTTCCTAAGTTTCGGTATCTAACTCGGGACCCCAAACCCCCTGCTAGATTTGTATTCTCTTGTAGTACTGATCATGCTATTTCGCAGTATATCTCTTCTGATGGTCTTTCAGGGTCTTACCGAGCCTTTCTAGGCAAACTTGATTCCATTTCCATTCCCAAAAAGTTGTATGAGGCTTTCCGAAATCCCAATTGGATGTCTACTATGAAGGTAGAAATGGATGCTTTGCAACATAATGAAACATGGGAGCTTGTATCTCTCCCTCTTGATGAAAAGATTGTTGGTTGCAAATGGGTATTTAGTGTTAAATATCTAGCTGATGGCTTTATTGATCGGTATAAAGCTTGTTTGGTGGCTAAAGGGTTTAATGATACCTTCGCTCTAGTGGCTAAATTGACCTCAGTTCGTTTGCTTGTCTCCTTTGCTGCCTCTTGCAATTTGCCTCTTTATTAGCTTGAAGTGAAGAATGCTTTCCTTAACGGTGATCTTCTTGAGACTATTTACATGGATCCTCCACCCGATTTTCGGGCTGAGGGGGAGTATGCTGGAAAGATCTGTCGATTGCGGAAGTCTTTGTATGGATTAAACAATCTCCCGGATCTTGGTTCAACCGTTTCAATGATGTAATTCTATCCATGGAATTTGTTAAATGCCATTCTAACCATACATGTTGTATCCACCGTTCCTCCACTGGTTGATGTATCATTTTGCTTGTCTATGTTGATGATATCATCATTACTGTCAATGACATCCTTGGGATTGCTCAAGTAAAGCTTCAATTGGTTAAATCTTTTGATGTGAAAGACCTTGGGCAGCTCAGATATTTTTTGGGAATTAAGGTTGCTAGATCTAAGCAGGGGATCCCCTTATCGCAGAGGAAGTATGTCTTTGATCGTCTTCGAGACACGGGTATGCTTGGGTGTAAACCTGCTTCCACTCCTATGGATCCTAATATGAAGATCTCGACTGAGTTCGGAGATTTCTTTTCTGATCCCTCGCATATCAGCGCTTGGTAGGAAGATTGATTTATTTT